ATTTTTAGTGTAAGGATTTTAGAAAAAAGTATCGTCTTATAGTCGGAAAAATACGGTACTCGCAGATCAGTCCATCTGCAGATAAGCTGGACCCATTTTGGGGAGTGTATTTTGGCACCCAAAATTCTTGGTTCATCTGCAAGTATATACACTAGTTTCCATTTTAAGACCACAGGAAACATACACAATACAAAGAAATATCCTAATGCAATACCAAAAATGCAGGCCCATTCTTTCACTGACACATTAATGCCTAAATGAATAGATCTTGTGATAAATGTTGCCAAATACTGAGAAATATTTGAAAATCTATGTAAGTATATTACTGACACCATCACATGCCATAACTCTGTCCATACATTTCCTTTATATACTTAAATATGTGAATATTGAAGGTTTATGTTCTCATCTAGCTGTCTGATTAAAATTCATGATGCTACATTATTTTTAACCACACACATCAATCAACTTTTACAGATAAAATTCAAAATAATTTAGCGTACCTGACAAGCAAATGTAGGTTAAGTATTCACCCTGACCCCCAGTTGCCAGGAAAGGAATCTTTTTCTTCGTTCTCCTTTTTACTTGGACGGCACCCAGCATCCTTTCATCGTGTGGTGCAAAAATCTCTTTACTGATAGCAGATTTGACACTCATTATAACAGACGGAAGATGTTCCTAAAATGAATTTGTACAGTGTTACTTTTTTGAAGAAACATTTATATAACAAACTGGTTTTCTGTCCCCTCTCCTCTAATAAAAGTACATATTTGCACTGACATATATACAAAATAACAAATAACATATTCAGTCTAGAATAATCTGACCATTAACATGACAGCAAGATCTTTGCCACTGGACAACTTGCCTGGCTGGTTAGCATCTTCAGTATGGAGAGGATGGAACAAGAAGGTCTTTGGGCTGATATGGAGGGGATGAGGGAGGGTCTTTTTGGCTTTTATTTAAGTAAGTAAACAATTTACAGTCAAAGAGCAAAATGTAAGCAATAACACAAGGGGTTTCAGTACAATGAGATGAGGAATTAGCAAATTAGAGGGATAGAAGTGACAAATATTCAGTATTCACAAAAGGCACAAAAAACCAGAGCATCTAAATGTGAGCACAGTTCAGATGCAACATCTTTGAACAATCATAACTGAGCAACTTTCATAGAAATCTCAACCCGAGCCACAGCGTGCCAAAAAGCCTCTTTGGGCCATGCTCCTGGGGCTGGGCCGAGGCTGGTTTCATGCTGTGAAAAAAAAAAAGTAAAAACAGCCCTTGAGCCACAGCACAGTGTGAAGCAAGGCCCAGCCTGGCCTAGGAGCATGACCAAAGGGGTTTTTTTGGCATGCTGTGGCTCAGGGGCTGCTTTTTACTTTTTTTTTTTTCACAGCATGAAACCAGCCTCGGCCCAGCCCCAGGAGCATGGCCCAAAGGGGCTTTTTGGCATGCTGTGGCTCAGGGGCTGCTTTTTACTTTTTTTTTTTTTTTTTTGGCAGTACAAAGCCAGCCCCAGCCTGGTCCAGGAGCAGAGCACAAAGGGGCTTTTCAGCACACTGCAGATCTGGGGCTATTGTTTTTTTTTAACCCCACAGCACAAAGCCCAGCCCCAGCTCAGTCCAGCAACCAGGCCAGGCATGCCTCATCAGCAGTGGGAGCAAGAAGACGATGAAGGTCAGCTGGGGTGGTGCAGTGCAGGACAGCAGGGGGCCAAAAGGACATAGAAGGGGGGCAGATAGACAGGTGGGGGAGTTGATGTGCCCCTGCGGTCGTGTGGGTGGGCTAAGTGCCCACATTTTTATCATGTGATTGCTGGGCACTGCAATGGCTGTAACTTTGGGCATGGGTCGTAAGTCCCTTAATTCAGCACCACTGTAACTTCAAAGGGTCACTGAACAACTGGTCATAAGTTGAGAACTACCTGTAGTTCTTATACATTTTGAGTAAGTCACTTCTAAGACCTATATATCTTTGTAAATGCAATGTTGCACTCCATACAGCAGAAGACTCAGCACCATAGTGTTTAATAATTGCTGAACAGGAACTTGTAGCACAAAGAAAAAAAAATTAAAAACAAATCAAAACAAATGAAAAAGAGAGAAGTAGGATACGGGGTGGGGGTGGGGAGATACAGTGCTCCCTGCTCCTGTCATGCTGGACTGAATACATGACAGTAACAACTGAACAGGGACTTTGTTATTGTATTAATTTTTCAGTCAGAGCAATTTGCACAGTCCTAAATCCTACTAGTTTCATGAAAGATACATTTTAATTTTCTAGTGTTTTGCAATAACAAATCTAGGACCTAGCAAAACCAAAAGTATTTATTTTTAACGATGCATTAATGTATGTGTCTTAGGAAATATGTATAATAAGCCAACAGGATTCATGATGAAAGAGTGCTGACTCTCCTAATGCTTTCAAAACTTTCAGCCAAAAAGACTGACTTATTGGACATAATGACCAAAGATGGTCATATGTAACAATCTGTTTACCACTCACTGAGGTGTAGTGTCATGTATGGATTATTTTTATGGTCACTTCTTGATGATTAGCTGAAGTAGATTTAAAAGAACTGCTGTACCAAAAAGAATTCAACCAGATTCATTAAGTTCAAATTCCAAACCATCTCCCAGATTATTTGAAGACTTTCAAGAAAGCTGTAATACTTAATATATAAAAACAAAACAATTTTTCCCTTCCTTACCGCATGGAACTTCAATACTCAATATTCAGTGGTTCTTTGAACTAGTCTTGCCCATATACACATATACAGGTATATCACCTGCATACGTTTGTTGAGGCATGATGAGGAGGCCTAGGGCTGACTTCAGCTGAAGTTAGCAACTCCTGATAAGATGAGCGGGCTGATTATGGCACAAGATTTTTCTTTTTTAATCAACTCCCCTCATGGGGAAAAATTTAAATCCAGGGTCTTCTTCCTCAGTATAAAAGGCACAAAACATAAATTGAAGCAGTCTTCATAAACATTTCCTCAACATACATGCCAGTAAGTTTGCCTCCACAGCAATTACTTTTCTTGGCCATAGAAAGCTTTAATTCAAGACCATCTTCCGTATTCCCCCCAATGCACAGAGATGGCATTTCTCAGCAATAAACTTATAAATACACAAGAGAGGGGAATACAGAAGATGGACTTGGATTAAAGCTTTCTATGGCCAAGAAAAGTAACCAGGATTGACAAAATTGGTATCACCAGCATTGGATAATGGCTCTACCATCAGACGTGTGAAACTAGTCCACTCTATGTACAAGCACTGCAAGAACAGGAAATAATTGTTAAATAAGATCAACCCTTTCCAGCCTGGTTTTCTCCAGAAAGGTTGGATTATAACTCCTATTACCCAAAGCTAGCATAAGCATTGGTCACACTGATTAGCAGATAATGGGAACCATAGCTCCACAGTGCCAGAAGATGTTAGGCCAGGGAAGACTGATCTAGACATTTAGGGAATACTTCAGTAAGTACACATACTAATTTAATTTTTTTCACATGCTATCAACCGATGCTTTATATCAAAGCTTGGAAGAAAAGATACTGCATTATAGAATTAAAAACGGAGCATATACCTGCACTGCGTTTCTTCCTAATATACTGAGTCGTTCTTTTATTTGTTACCAGATTCCAGACAGATGTACCTATCAATGGTCTCACTGACCACCTTGAAATGTAACAGCACTCAGTCATAAGCATTATTAGATAGATAGGTCAGCTTGAGCAAATACATCTTTTAGAACGCTTCTAAAATGCCATGGCATATGAAAACGTTCATAGAAAGTTTATTAACTTCGTTATGAATCTGTTTTATTTTTTGGTACAGCAGAATAGAAAAGGAGAAAAACGACCCACTACTGCCAAGGTGCTTCCTGTTCAAAAAATAGTGACGTGCTGCTCAGAATGGCCTTACCGAAAGTGGATCCTCGCTTGTTTTACAAGTACGTCACACACTGATGGGATTACATCGTTCTTCCTATTTACAATAGCAACCTTAATATGCACAGGTGTGGCATTTCTCAGTAATAAGCATACAAATATATGAGAAGTAAGCTATACTTCCAGTCGTATTAAAAAAAAAGTATTCAATTGGTTTCAAATCTACTACCCCTTTAACTCTTATCTCTTGGTATCTTTCCAAGAAAGCCCAGATATTTGGATTTCAGACAAGCCTTTTTTCACTGGAAAGTAAGCACCATGCATTAAAATCACAGGGTATGTAAACATCCAGATATTTCAAGCATTTCAGGAAACAATTGCTTAAGTACGCATATTTTAAAGCATTGCATGTGTCATAAGTACCAGAGAGACCAGCAATTGAGTTTTTTTTCAGGGGGGAGGGGGAGGGAATTCAGAAAAAAAAAATCTGATGTACTATATCAGTTAAAAGTGTGATTTACTCACTAAGTCTAAGATAAAATACACCATATAACTCTCGGCTTTGTGTTCCAATCCTGTATATACTTGCCTGCAAGTAAATCTCATTAAACACTTATTTCTGAGAAACTACAGAACAGAGAAAGGTGAAAAGTGAAGTCACCCTTGAGATGACCTTGGCTCTTCGTGGTACCTGTACATGTTGTTTTATGTGCAGCTGAATGGAAGTGGTTCCCATACCTTCTTCAGGATTTTTATTTTATTTTTTTATTTATTTATTTATTTTATTTTATTTATTTATTTATTTATTTATTTTATTATTATCATCATCATCATCATCTTCTCAGTCTAGTCTATAGCCCTGGGATGTTGTT